AAGCCATAAGAAACAGCACAGAATCACCCTAAAGCACACCGTGTCACAACATTTAGCTTGGTAGCTAAAGTTATCTGTTAATGTTAGCCACTGTAAATATAGTTACTATAATGGCAATGCCTAACTATTTTTGTTTGTACCGCATACAGTATTAGCATGCTGTCAGTGTGGGCATATCAGCATGCTGATATTAGCACTTAGCTCAAAGCAGCACTGCACAGCCCCACAGAGCTGCTAGCATAACCGTAGACTGTTAGTTCAATACATTTTAAAATGAATCAATGGCAAACCACAACTGTTGAGACTATATGAGAACTAGCTCTGACTCTTGCCAGTTATAAGACACATCTTGTGCTGCATTCACATCAAGACTGTTCAAACCACAATTACGATCAGCCACATGACAGCAACTGTTCACGCCAGCCTGCAACTTGAAGCTCAGAGCTGAAGATGAAGAATTTTTTTGGCAGCTCTCATATCTCTCACTTGGCAAAAAGAACAAAGTGAGAAAAACATTTGGCTGCAATTCTGGCAGATCCATTTAAATGAAGTGATATTAACTCTAACACAAACACTTTAATTAATTCATCAGCAGTTTGTTTCTATCTAGGTTCACTTGTAACACTATACAATTAGCCAATTTAAAATATTTATCTGTCTGCAAGTTTAGCAATGGATGTAACCTTTAAATCTGTGAATGCTCCCAAGTCAGAGTAACAGGAGGTTTTTCTCATCTTCCTGTTCTGCCAATCCTGTGTGAATGCAGCATTAGTTGTCAAGGTTTACCTAAGCAACATGGAGACAACAAATAAGATGGACCTTGTGTTGAAAACAACTGTTTTTGATAGGTTTCTCACTCATACTTTCTTGATTTTTTGCAAAGAATGATTTATCACTTTCCTATGTTATACAAGCTACCTTATCTAAATAAACTCAGCTCTGTGAAATCAAACTTTGTGGTGGTGCTGTGTATATTTATGCTATTTTGACCTCACCCTTTATTTGTCTGAGGCAATAGCCACTGATTTTATGACCAAATCGTTTGTTTAAGGCAAACATATACAAAACACAAACACACACAGATGGGTGTATGCATTATGTTAATTCAGTTCTGCTCTGTCACAATGCTCCGCATGCACAATACATAATGGTTCTGAATTTCTATCTGCACCACTATTTTTGCTGCTAATAATAGTGGGCTTGAAACCTTTTCTGGAAGAATGTGTGTCTGCGTGTGTGGGTGCAAATGCATTTAGGTAAGTGTAGGTGAGTGTATGCTCTTGCAGATATATTTTTGTGTGTTTGGGTTTGTTTGTGTAGAGAGTTCATAGCCGCTCAAGTGGCAAAGGGCTAACTGTGTTCGGAGAAGCAATGAGAAAAAAAGCGAGAGAGACAACAAGATGCTCGGGTTCCTACAGAACGTATGACTCACCGAGGTCTCCAAGCTGCCTATTGTTCTGCGTAGGAGAGGCTGTAACTAATGACAGCAACTTTGACTGAATGACACACACAAGCACACACTAATCAGCTGCTGGATTTTCACATGAGAGCAACATGAATAGCATCACAGCAGATGAGAGAATCCTATGTTTAGTGCATCAACAGGTGTATGTTATTTCCTGGTGGTGACCAGGATACACAGATTCACACAGTTTCCAGGTGAGATCACACAGTCGCACGTCTAAAATGTCTCCTGGTTGTGTATCTGAGCTATTTATGCTTCTAAAGAAAGCAAGCAGCTGATTTTTAGAGCCATCATCAACATGGGCAGATTATAAGAAAATGGACCCCTGGGCACAGACAGGTGGTCCTTTTGCATGTATTTATAGTTTTTAACTGAGTTCTATGAGTGGGAATGTATCAGTATGAAGGGAATAACAAGGTGCTTGTCAATGCCTTAAAAATTACAGTATCTAAAATCAAAATCAAAGGTGTGTGTTTATGAGGGTAAGTCACAATGTGGTTTTCCCCATTGTACGATAAGGATTTGAGGTGCTATGCAAATAAATCAACTCTGAATTGAAATTAATCTCCAAGCTCATTCTAATCTGAACCCAAAGGTTGAAAAGCAACAATTAACATAACAATAGAGCGCTGCCAGTGTGTGTGTTCTTGTACTTGCTTTATAGTGAGGACCAAAAAAGTATTTTTTGCCACAGAGTGATGACATTTTTGGAAAGTGAGGACATTTTGGCCTGTCCTCACTTTCTGAAACTCCTTTTTAAGGGTTAAGACTTGGTTTAAGGGTTCAGGTTAAAATTAGGTTTAGTTTAGGTGTTAGGCATGTAAGGTTAAGCTTAGGGTTTAGGTGTTAGGCATGTAAGGTTAAGCTTAGGGGCTAAGGAATGCATTATGTCAATGAGTGTCCTCACAAAGCTAGAACTACATGTATGTGTTTGTCTTTGGTGCGAAGTTCTGCAATGTTAAGTTAAAAATGTGAACTAATTATAACAATAGCAAACAGATGACAAATTTTTGTAAATGGTGTTGCTCTCCAGAAAAGCCATACATTATTAACAGGCCCTCCTTGAAATATACATGACAAGGACACAATACAGTAGAAATGCATATTCTACTTCTTTGAACTCTGAGGGGCTACTGGTTTTAATCCATATACACATGCACATATAACCATTTATGCTATGAGGAAAACAATGTGGGCGTTAATTAGAGCCGTTCAACATCAAACGATGCTCTGAACCCAGCTGAACATGGACAAAGACGGAATTGGAGACAGACATGGCAAATGCAACAGCTCAAGTGCTGCCTCTTTAGTAAATAACAGGAAACGGCAAGAGGGGCAGGAGGGCGCATAGATGAAGGTGACATTGACAGGATGTGAGATAATGGAGGTTTGCTGATCATAAATGAAGAATTATTGCTGTAATTAATCATTTTATATCAAAGGTCTAACATAAAATGTAAAGATCTATGAGGTATAGATGATTTTATATTTAATTCACTCAGCCTTATCTGAAAGGCATGCACAGCGACACAGTCTGACTAGAGTGTGAAGAGACGATGGGCCACC